TTGTGAAATTTTTAATTGACTAACATTTTGTAATAAAAAATAAGTAAGTTTAGCAATCCATTTTATTATGATTTACGATATTTTATAAGAATGATTTTAGAATGACTTTGTGGCCGATTATATAATTTCAATCAGAAAATATTTTTAGAATTCTTAAGAATGACTTTATTTTTTTAAATATCTTTTTAAAAAAATAATCTTCTCAGAATAAAAATCTAAAAATTACCAGGGAAATCACTTAGAATTAAAAAATATTTTGCATTTTATTGTAAACATTAATTCTAGAATGATTGAAATGTCATTTACATAATATAGCTATGTGCACTATAGGATAATTTATTAACTTTTAAGAATAATTTCTTTTAATGCAAATATTACTTTTCCAAATTAATTACAGAAAGATTCTCTACACTGATGTAATCTTCGATATAATCTTGTTATATCACCGAAATAAGCGCGTCTGTTGTGCAATACGCATTATGCATTCTGTTTCTTTCTCATGGCAATATTAGCAGGCTCAATTATGTTAACACAAAAAGGGTGACCGATGCAATAAAAATGATTACAAGAGTAAACCTTCAGTTTCTGCGATCTTTACATGACCAAAATAGAGGCAGACGCAGAATTCATATAACCATTTTTCTAGAATTATTATTACATAATAGAACACACTACATTCAGTGTTTGATTATGTACCTTCCTTACATCAACATCTTATTGTTCGTGTTTCTTTTTGAAGTGCTTAATAATTAACGCTTTTAAAGTTGTTACATTAGTAATATATTCTTTTATAAAACCTTGAAAAACAGACTTAAAAGAACATACTATAATGTTTTTATAAAAAAACATATTATAATGTAATAACTTTTTAATTATTAAACACTTCAAAAAGAAACACGAAAACAATAAAATTGATCTTTTTAGTAATTTTGATACTTTACTACTACTATTATTTTATACGTTTATAACTTTACTATTTGAAAATTTTATTTTATTCTGAATTATGTTATATATAATTTTTTTAGGCGACAATGTGAAATTTTGCATCACAATATTAATAGCGTGACGTATAGCCATGTGACGTATTTATCAGGAAGTTTTCCGATCGATGTATACTTCGCCAGATAGATTTTAATCCGTCGTTATCGTAAAAATTAAATGAGTGATGAAACATGACGGAATAAAGCATCCATGAGTTGCATCATCTTCGCAAAGTGCATATGTACTATTATTAATATAATGCGAGTGCGTATAATCGATTGAGAGTAGTACGCTTGGTACCGTGGGTGGTCTATCAAAATGAAGTTTATTGACCGAAATAATCGCAACGGTCGGTCAACGTGACTGTTTCTGGTCAGGTGTGCTTACGGATGATGAAACAAGATATTGATATTAGACATGTAATTACAAAACGTACGAGTTTTTACAAGTCATGCTCATAACTCTTTTTCAATACACAAAGTAATTTGAAATTATTTTAACAATTAAATTTCGAAAATGTATTAAAAGTGTCCTGTATTTTCAGACTATGGTTGCTCTTGCAGTGAACTTTTCAATTCTCTCGATGAACTTCGTTAAGCACGGTGTCATGACAATTTACACACGAACAACACACGTGTCAAAGATCGAAGAAGGACGTAACGATGAGATCGCTAGATAATATAAATTGATGTAAAGCGTCACTTCGACCTGAACACTGTTTCTCATCGTCGATGGAAATTGTTTGCTCTGCTACTAAGTAATTATGTTTTCTAACACAACTAGTTCTCGGTAATTTCCATTGAATTTTTATCCTATTAAAAGTTTAACGCGAAGTATAATCAATAAGTATAATCACTTAAATTTGCTTAAACTACTGGTTAACTTTTCATTGATATATATATATACATATAAAATCATCATCATTAATACATATTTATTGCGTCGAAATCAACACTGATTTTTTTATTACAAATATTAATAAATTACAAAGTTGTGAAGTAAGAAAGCAACATTAATTTTTTACACAGTTCTTAATATGAGAAAAACCAATAATAATCAATGAGTATGGATTCTGTTTTGTTTCGATTATTCTTTAGTCAGCATTAATATTTCAAGTTTCAAGAACTCCGAGTGCAATAAATACGAATTAAAACGGGAAATTTAGGTTTAACTGTACCTATGTTTTTATGTTTACTAAATTTACATAATATTATATCTTACTTATAATCGAAACAATAATAATTATGTAGGAAAATACGAAAACACGAAAGCTTATATTTCTTATAATTTTATTTTTGACCTTACGTTCAATTGATGTTTCGACGAACCTTAAAACATACACAAACATGTGTAAAGAACGAAACTACATTCATAATTATTTATCGATCTGTATGCAAATAATATGATATTATACATTCCAGTAGCTTTAAAAATGAATCATGCATATGAGACTACGAATCAGCACATTTAATGTCAACATTGTGTGATATTGCTGATATACCATAATTAATTATCTCGGAATTTTTTTCTTGCCAAATAAAATTATTCTTTATTCAATCAAATTTTTATTTTTGATATTCTTAATGTCTGTGTATGTAATTTTTTTTTCCTTTCTGCAAAATATTCATATAAATTTTACAATTTATTATTACTCAATTGGTTAATTTTATTACTCGTTTTTATAATTTCTTTTCTTTTTTTGTTAATTCCCTTAATTTTTTTTCTGTTCTCAGAGAGCTTATGTTCTAGAATACGAAAGTGTGATTCTACTCTCTCCGGGAAATTTCGATACAGCGGATCTAACTCGATTAGCGTTTCTTTATCAGACATTTTTCCTTGGGTTTCCCGGTATTTCGCCGTGGTGTGTATATATCGATAAAAAGCTCCGTTATGTACATACCCGAGTGACCGGCGCGATGGAATATCCATGAAACCGTGGAGGGGACGGCCCGAACGACAATGACGAGGTAGCAGCGTAGCGCCGGTAGCGGGAGGACGGTCTCTATAAAAGCCGTACACCACGCTTGCCAGGTCATACGTCGTAGTCAGAACAGCAAGGAATTATCCGAGAGCCCTTCTATGAGAACGTTACGCGAGTGTTGCACGAGTTTGCGTCAGAAGGAAGTTTAGTGAAAGCGGAGAAAGGGAGGAAACCGCAAGAAGTGATTCAGTGGTTGGCGAGAGCTGTAAAACAACGCTAAAAATTCCTTCGACGAACTTTATCGAGTCCATCGAAGATTCCCACATTCAGTGAAGTGTGCAAGAGAGGCTCATTGAGGATTAAACCGACAAACGAGCAAACAGAGATACTGACCGATATGACTCGTTGCCAGGAACCACAGTCCTATCACGCACAGACCACAATGACCGATAGGTAGTTATTATTATATAAAAAAAGATCTCGTTACATGGGATTTCCACGTGGCTTACACGCAACACTCGAATGAGGAGTAGCATGATTGCCGTGGTTCTCTCTCAGTGGCAGTGATAAAGAAATGCTTGGTCACGACGAGGTAATTTTGACTTATCTCCGATCTTTATTTGTTTTGATGAGAAATTCTAGTTTCACATTGTGCAATATAAATCCTAGCTTGCACATTTCCGTATCTTTGATTTCGTAGAAATTATTTTATCGGAGATATAATTCTTAAAAAGAAGTAGATTTCTTATCTTTCGACTTTGCAAATCACTATCCGATGTTATTTAAAACTTAAAGAATTAATCTTGAACTTTTATATATCCTTGACATTATATAAAAATTGTCTTAGCAATTGCTGAAGTAATTTAAAAGTTATGAGTGCCTTGGAATGTCTTTACCGTCTTCCACGTATAAGGGTATATACAAATTAACACGTCATAGCGATTCATGAAACTTTGTTGTGACAATTCCAAGTATTCTCTACACTGTCGCGCTTACATAATAATAAAGCGATGCGCAAATGATTAATCGAGGATGACTTACAGCGGGAAATCATCGTGGTGCGAGGCGTCTCGCTGCTACGGTACGTCTCAAACCATTACGTGCGGCATGCTGCCGACCCTTCGAGAACTGGCCTCCAGAGGATGCAACAGCCGGGCGAGCATTTGCCTGGTGCCCTTCGACATTGAGATGGACGCGGCCAGTCACCTTCAGATGACATTACTCGAGGCTTATTGCCGGGAGATTGGAATCGAAGTGTTAAGCGTGTCCCAGGAGACGATACGATTGCACTTATGTCCAGGAAGCACGGATTTGTCGTGCGTTCTAATAAGCGGCGACAAGTCATATTTTCCAAAGCTGCCGAAGTGAAGTACAAAGACTCGTCCTTGAGAGTTGAAACTAAAGGACCAGATTTCATAACCGGTCTTTCGCAAGCCGAAGTATTTTGCTGAGATTCCTGCGTCGGGGGAGATACTTCACGCAAAGGATGAAGAAGGGAGTTTTAACTCGGCAAGCAATGTGTCCTGTGTGTCTCACCAGCGAGGCTGCTGATAATGGACATTTTATATCGAAATATGTATAAGCGAGATATATTCGATCGCTCTCGCTATATTTTAGCTGTTTGAAAATACTTTCTGTACTTTGAATTCTCCTGTGTTTTCTTCTTCCAAAATATGAATACTTTCTTTCGAATGCAGAATATGAAAAGGGGGAAGGGACAAATGAGGAGAAACAGATCTGTTATTGTTAAAACAAAGATTATGGTCAATCGACCATAATATTGGTGTTTCTTTCGGAATCACTTACTCAATGATTGTAGGATATGAAATATTAATTAGCGTATGTAATACATATCTATCAATTGTATACATTTGTCGTGAAAACAAACTAATCTTTGTTATGTTTTATGAACATTGACAGTTGAGGTGTGTCTAAGAACAATGTAAATGTATAATATAATCATTTGATAATATTATATGATATAAGACAAATACAAAGCTCTCTTTTATTTCCTGTGCCTATCTTTTACATCTTATTCTATCTCTATACGAAATCGGTAATATCTTGCTCACTTAATTTATTAAAACTTTTCTCATAGCTTGCAAAATACTTGAGGAACTCCAATATCACTTCCATGGAGGAATTAAAAATCCTGAACGTGACGTGAGTAGGTACACATTCGAGGATAAAACGTATAGTTATACGTAAAATATAAAACGGATCTCAAATGATTATACAATATTTTGGATCAATTATTCTCTCTCTCTTTCTTCCTAATAAATTAAAATATATTTTATTTTGAGAAATTTAAAAAATATATTCTATATTGCGCGAAGAATATCTTTCGTGTGCTCAGTCACTGTTTTACTGTTTCCTTTAACAGATCAACAGCCGAAGTTACTTTTCATTTTTTCGGAAATTCCGACGATGGAGATAAAATTCGCGAATCTCTCAATCGACTCGTACAGCGTCGACGTCTCAGCGAAATTGCATTGGAATCCACGCACTTTACCTTCCAGCAAAAACCCGCACTTAAGTTACAGGTAATTTATTGCAATTTATGATGTAATATTGCGTATTTAAATATTATCGCAAAAGCAAATCAAAGTCGTATACATAAAATATATATGTATAATACATACATATGTTAAAATTCGAAATTTAGAAATCATTCTTTGCCTCCTCTAATTAAAAAAAAAAAAGTTGGAGATTTGAATTGGAATTAAAATGGTTAAAATTCAATTAATAAAATTAACATTTTTGAGAATGCGATTAATTGCTGCATAATTTAAAAAATTCTAAAAATTATCGCGTTTTAGAATCTGCGTATTAATCAACTGAACGATTACGAGGTTCACTTGGGAGAACAAATCATCTTGTCGTGCGCTGCTCAAGGAAGTTACAGCATAAGTTTTACTTGGTACAAAGACGGCATGTTGGTGAACACGAGTAAAGCTATCAGGTAACTATCGACATTTCGGAGTTTACATTACAATATCGTAAAGCAAAAATTAATTAAAGTAACAATATTCAAATATATAGTTTGCATGTACTTCATTCTTTATGAGAAAGCAAGGTTTTCTCAGCTTACCAATCAGCACACAATATTTAAAAAATATTTTAAAAAATATTTATTTAAATATATTAAAATATTAAATAAATGTAAAAATATTAAATAAATGTTTAAAAAATGTTTTTTAAATATTGTGTGCTGATTGAGTTATCTATTCCGATCGCGATTTGCTATTTTAGAGAAATTTGGATTACTCACTTGCCGAATGATGGGTCAGATTTATACACATCAATATTGACAATCGAGAAGGCGACCCTGCTCGACGCCGGTCAGTACACGTGTCAGGTAGTTGACTGGGGTGTGCAGCAATGCAAAAGTATCTACATCGAGGTCAGGGATGAGCCGGACGTGAAAGTGGTGCCGATGAGCGCCTCTATAGAAAAAGTAAACCGCAAATAGATTTGTTCAATGCAAGTAATTAAAATGTAAAACAAAAAGACATGTATTAATACTGCCAGACGATTGTTCGCAGGGCAACGATATACAACTAACATGTATGACTCCCAACATGCGTAACATCGGGATCGGCTTCGGTTGGACGAAAAATCGCGCCTTGCTCAAATTAGAACCTGGTCGAGCAGTTTGGGAGGATCTGTATCCAGCGGGTAGCATTTTGAAGATCACTAATACTCAGGTACAAGTGCCGTGCACACTGATTTTTTTATTCGATATTAAAAAAATATTCGAATTTATTGCAAAATAACAGTCTCTCTCCTTTTTAAAATTAAAATTAAAATTAGCTTACAAGGAAAACATCATAAAAGTATCCCCATTCAATTTTGATCATCCTTTAATATATTGTTGCCTAGACCAAAATGAATGACATGTATTTTTTGCGCCCATTTGTATTTTTAGAGGGTAAAACACTTTTAGTGATAAAATTAAAAAATATGTTAAAGAATATTAGTAGGTAAATTCGATTAATCTATTTGAGTGGTTCGTCACAGAGTGGTCCGTTTGGCATTTCAGAAATCGGCGATTTACACCTGCAATGTAGCGCACAAGTCTATGTCCGTGCGAGTTGAAGTCATGAATCGAACGCTGATACCGATATGCTTTAAAGAACAGTCCTGGGGTTTGGAATGGCCAGACACTGCACCAGGATCAGAGGCACTATTAGAATGCCCCCGATATTTCATAGGTCGACAAGTATCCAGGCTGTGCTCGATGAAAGACGCTACTACACCCGAATGGCAAATACCGGATTTCTCATCCTGCTTATATGAACCATTGATTTTACCATATAACAATGTGAGTATTTTGTTTTCTTTAAATTTTATAATTGATTTGTCTCGTAAAGAACCGAAAGAACTTATTTAGAATCAATTAAAATGGCTCTGTTTTTAATAGAGTAATATAAAATGTATGGGATACATCTTTAAATAAATACAAATTGTGATAAAACAAACTAGAGAATGCACGTAAAAATTAAAAGGCCATTGCAATATTTTGTAATATTTGATTATTAATAACGTTTTTAACGTTTATTATTGAATACGCGATGGAAATTTAAAAATAGTTAATATATTTGATATAAAATAAAACAAGAAATTAATAAAAATGTTCGCATTTTAATTCACGATCAAAGTTGACTAGTTTGATTTGTTATACTTGATTAAAGATCCAAATTTATTATCAAAGTAATAAGTTGTGAAATCGATCTAATTTGTAGTTTCGAAGTCTGACATTGGGTTATCAAAAAATCATGAGTTCGGACATGATCCTCGCCTTTTGGGAGCTGTTGCGCAAACGTGCATTGCCGCTTTATCCTGGCGAAGGCGATCGTATAATAAATATGTTGGCTGAAATCGAACGATATCAGTACAAAATCGATCCACAAGATGCATATAACTCCGCGGAGGCTTTGAGTCACATAATAAATCGCATACTGAGCGATGAATATTCAATCCTGAGTCAAGAGGTAAAGATAATGTAGGAAAAAAGTTTAATTTTTAGTAAGATTTAAATAACAATGTTTTTTTGCTTAATTTGAAACATAAAGCTATTATTTTAAAAATTGTGTTGACTGCAAAGTATCTCATTATTTAGTCATAATACAGTCTTGTTAAAAATATAATAGTTGTTTTCACCCAGAGAATTGACAAAAAATATTTACTTAAATCTGTTTTATATTCAAAATTACTCTTTTTTCTCCTACTTATAACAAAATTATAAACTTCCAAATTATCATCTGTTTTTAGAAACTATCGGTGTTGCTTCAACTAACGCAACGCAATTTAATTCACTGGTCCAAACAGCTGAAAGATATGTATAAACATCTGTCTCTATCATCTATGGTTGTAGATATTCAGCAACTACAATCTCAGAGTGGAGATAGTATAACGCATTCTCTTCAAATACCTTCGATCGATTATATGTAATTATTTTTATTAATATCTATTATAATTATTACATAATATATTTTCTCTTTTTAAAGATCTCCTTCCAAAATAATATATCCTTCTATGTATTTATTTATATGCGTTTAAAATTATGTTCAAACAAATCTTTCGCATTTTTATATAAATTATTTATTTGTGGCAGATATCCTGATTGGTACGAAGATAAAGTAGCTATACGATTATGGAAAAAGAAGCAGCGTAATATAAAGTCTAATAACACATTTACCGGAATTGTTATCGTATATAAAAACATGTCACGCTTTATACCAACAGCGTATATTAAGGAACTCGAGTAAGTTGATTTATTTAGAAAAAAATCGAACAAAAGGCATGAATAAGCTTGCCTATTTTTATACATTTGAAAATTTATTTAAATTAGTGAAATTAAAATTAATAAATTAAAAAAAAATATATATATATATGTATATATATAAAGAAATTAAAATTAAATTAAATTTTCCTAAGATTAATTTTTTCAATTTAAAATATAATAATTTTATCATCATAGTGATGGCACGGACCTAGAGTTTCGCATTAATTCTCGAGTGATCGCCGTCGCAGTTCCCTCCTTTGGTATCGATAAATATAACAAAATATGGGTTGATCTGCAAATCAGACATTTACAAAATCAGACAAATTCCTGGAATACGTCATGCGGCCTAATAGATAACACTGGATCGTGGGATCTCGATACTTGCATAGCAAACACAGTATCCGGCGATGTAGTAACGCATTGTTTGTGCCCTACTACGGGGACAATAGCTGTTTTCTTGACGACTCGAGCAGTAAAAGTAAATATAGCTTCATTTAAGAAAAGCCATATTTTAACATTCCGTGTTATTCTATTACTTATGGAATGCATATCCTAGAATTCTTATGTATGATGAAGTTTATCTACACAAAATTTTCCATATAAACGAAGAACATTTAATCGTTATTTGTCAATTTCGTTGTAGGTAGTACTGGCGAAAACAGAACAAACCACGTTCATTATAATATTTGGATGCAGCAGTTGCCTTGTTCAGTGCTTGCTATCTGCTCTGATACTAGGCACTTTTTGGAGAAAGCACAAAAGCTGGCTGAATTTTCTAAAACTCCAATGCTGCGGCGCACTAATAGGCGCAATGGCTATCTTTATTTACGCCGTCCACACTAATCTTCCAGAGGTAATCATATCTTTGTTTATAAAAAAAATTTAGAACATTAACTCTATAATTAAAATTTATATAAAATATAATGTTCTATCATGAAGTAAATCTTATATAAATTATAAAATTGTTATATGAATCTTGAACTTAATATAGATTTCGTTTTGAATATAACTGCACATTTGAGAATCTTAAAAATTATAATCTAATCCAATTTAACACCCTCATTAATTTCCCCCTGTTTCAGTCATCTTACTCGCTCGTGGCGATAGGATTAGAGGCATTCCTCCTCGTGGGCATGTCTGCGCCTATTTCCGAGGCTCTAATAGTATATGCCGAGCTCACGCAAATTCGACCGAGCCAACATCTTCAGCCCACAGTGATCGCTGTAATAACCGGTATGATCTAGAGAGAGCTTTTGAAAGAGATGCGTATCGTCAAGCATCACTTATAATCGCTGTTTCTTAGGTGTTCCGATCTTGGCTGTATTTGCAACTGAATTAACGCATAAGAGTACAGGATGGAGACATGAATCCTGGTGGCTCATATATGGCAGCGGTGTCTATAACATATTTGTCAGCTGCGCCACGATGATGTTTTTAGTATTCATACTACTGTATATGGGGGTGCTCCACAAAGTTCACACATTAGTGGAGGAGAATGTGATGAAGAGAGAAGCTATAGAAACAAGGTACGTAGGTGCATTAGAATATTTCATAAAATTGGGCGACTCTTTTATAAGTCATTCAATCTTTTTTCGCAGAATACGAATATTGCACCGCGCAGCTATCGTCATATGCGGTATCATCGCCATGGAGGCATCCTCTATTTTCTATATAAATTCATCATCTGTAATTTTCCATTACGTATTTGCGTCCTTATCTTTCGCTCTGGTGAGTTTCTTCGCAAATACTTATGTTGGTTAAATAATAAATAATAAATATATTAAAATTATTCTAATTATTGATACGCAGGGCTTCAGTATAATTATCGTATACATCGTTAACGGCGAGAATGCAATTATCGGACCAATGCTGCGGAGGATCAGATGGAAACGCAATTTGGATGATAAACACACGTCTGAACCCATTAAAGGTATCAACTTATTGACGTGCATTATGACATCGAAGAGGAATTTTTTTATAAACTATTGTAAAAAAAGCGCCAAAGCTTGATTTACAAAATATTAATGCTATTCATATTATTCATTAGTATGCTCGAAAGCTGATGCTGAGGTGGAAAACGATTCAGCAACTCCCCCGACGTCGTCTTCAATCGCCGGCGAGCCGTATAGGGAGGCACGAGGCGTCGCCGCGGGTAGCATAGATATGCGTGAATTTGTATCAGAGTCTTCGTCTGCCTATGCCAAGTCCTCCGTCCCCGCGACTAGATTCCTGCCGGAGATCCGAATAGATCATTCAGATAATATCGATCTTGAGAACTACAATACGAGTCCGCGAAAGTATCAGGAGGTGTTCGTCGACTCGACGTTCTCCGCACGTAGCTCTTGCTGTGCCAATGATGTAGTGGCCTACAGTGTTAATGAACGCAGCAACTTCCGTGGCGACGTATCGGGCATGTATCGTGGCGACGGCAAGACCTTCCTGCCGACGGCGAGCGTGTCCTCCGAGTCCTCGGCCAAAGTCCTCTGCAGTGCCGACATAGAGTCGCGATTAGGTGCGATGCCAGACGTCACATTGGCTGTGAAAAGTGACGTTGAACTGTCATCGCGGACAAGCGTGGAACTGAAGAGCCGGGAGCACGTGGTGAGCACCATGCCGGACATCGCCAACACGAGTGAGCGTAAGCAACCCGACGGCGAGGAGAAGACGCCGGAGATCGTGGTAACGACAGGTGGCTGCGATAACGCGACAAGCGGTATGCTAGATCGTATCTCTCACGATCTTGACTATCTGCTTAATCGCACGCACGCCAAAGAAGGAGCTTGAAATCTATCAAGATCGTGAAATGCAATAAGTGCAATATAGATTGTTAAATTTGTACAAAACGGATTTCACCACAAATTTCCACATAAATAAGTGAATCGCAGGTCATTTCGTGTATCGTAGTTTATTTAGGATAATATTCGTCAATATTGCGTTTTTGCTATGTAATGAGAAATCAACGTGATAACGCGATATGAACGTATTGAGAGCTGCAAACCAAAGTCTAAAGTATATATACATATAATCCCTTCTTATTTCTTATATTCTCATATATTCTGCACCAGAACGCTAATTGTAATTTGATCGTTGATCACGAATCAGCGATAGTCGTAAAAGAAAATCGATGCGACAAGTGATCATCATCGCACTCCATCCATCAGAACTTACTTTAAATTTAAATATAATCTCGAAATTTTCATGCTCTATTATAAACATTTACATTCACGTCCATTGTATATCATGAGGAGACTTTATTGTTCCTCATAATAAATAAATAGAATACTAAAGAATAAAATGTACTGTAAAAATTCAATTCATGTATAATTATTGTATAGATTTTCAGAAGGTGAGAGTACTTAATTGAGCGTTTCCGAGTTAAAGTATTTATTTATCACTGTCATCGTACAGCCCTTTCATAATATCCACGAGTCAGTCGTCGCGCTTTTTTTCGTCGTTTATAATTTGTATTATAAAGCTATACACATTCAATTTAGTTTGATAATCTACTTACATACTTAAGATCGAAGTTTATGTTGTAGGTAATAGGTACCTCTAGTAGAGTTAGTCGTTTACTTAATGAGAAATGCTTCACTGAAATTGATTCGACCGAGGTATGAAATTGGAGCGGTATTTCTCTTGGCCAAGCACGTGTTATAAATGCAAAAGACGTAATAAGATCTGTGTTAGTCTGTTAGCACTCGAATATACCTATATGACTAGTTTTCTGTGTTTAACAGATTTTTCTTAAAAATATAAAATATTTACAAGGATTTTCGGCTAATTTTATCGAGATTTAATCTTGGTTTAATCACATCAATAATACCCAAGTATAGAGCAGGGCCGTGGCTTTATCCGATTACTACCAAATTACGCTATTGAGCCAGTATTACATCTCTTATAATCTTGCTTAAGAACTAAAAGTAAAATGAACAAGCACGCTACTGTACTTTCTCTCGCGAATATTTATATTCGCTCACTTTTTTTCAATAGACAGACTTTTCAATAGACTGAGTATTATTTTAGCAAAAATAATAAATGTGTTAAGAGATTGAAAGTTTTGTCCGAAAGAAAAAAATTAAGAATCCATACAATATTTAAATATTAATGGATTTTATAATAGCTGTACAATGAAGAGATAGTTTTTTTTCTTACGCATAATCGAATTAATTTTTGTCGATTTGCACGCACAAAATAAATTTTATGATATACGTTGTCATGATGAAAAGCATGATATCAATTTCGGCGTATTAATTTCATGTAATTTTATAATTCTAAGAGATGTTATGAGAAACATGATTCATAACGAACTTTCGTAACTGTATCCCGATAGGTAGATTATGACAGGTAAGTATCAAATCGTACGTAGCTTCGTATAAATATGAATCAATATCCAGCAGACCTCTAACTATCCTCTTAATTATACAATCACAAGTATTTGGTCTTTTTACATTAGATTTATACATTTTTTGTCGCATATCTATATAACGATATAACAGGTGAGACCTGTATAACGTAAAAACTCTATAGAGTATAGAGGACCAACGAAATTTGACAACGGAAGTATAACTTCAAGAGCCTAAATACGAAAGTAAATATACTAAGCAGTTCCTAATTTGCAGTCATATTCAGCTTAGAGGTGTAGCCACGGCACCCTCCCATTTTTACTTCCATTCCTCTTCATTCTGTTTACTTAAATATAAAAATACATAGCCAGTCTATACATAAAGCGTGCAAAGTGGCACAGTGAACTGAGTTATCAGACGTCCTGGATGGTTAACTACCGCTCTCGCTGATTGTCGGCGGTTCTGCATCATCATGAAGTTTACTCGTTTTGTTACTTGACACAGGTATACCTGAGGTTTTTGGCAGCAGGTTAGTTGCATTATCACTATTGGATGTTGTGGCGTTACACACGGAATTGTCAAAATGTTGCAGACATGGAAATTCCGAACCAGGCAGCAATAAAGTAGTTTGAGTAGGAAGATTAGTTAATGATACCATTCCTGGTGTCACTATTTGCTTGTTGAAGTATCTCCTCAATGCCTCTTCAATTAAATTGGCTATTTTATCACGATCGTTCTGCAACAGATGTAAGCATCTTGCTAAAGCAAAAACTAAACTTTCGCAAAACAGGATTGCTCATTGGCGATATAAGCGAGATAATTTACCTCATTAATAAATCCAAAATGTACAAGTTCCTGTGCGAGAAGCATTGAGGTGTCCATTTGGCTTACAGGACACGTCAATTGCCTATTCATTTTGTCATCCATTCGCAACAATATTGTCATCTGAATAAAATAATATATCAATTTAATAATATACCGATTACGCGTACTCCATAGATTATCTTGCTAAAATGTTCTATGGACACCACTCACAAGTAATTCACTACTATCTTCTCTAGGCTTAACATTACACATCATATTAACTACTCTTCGAGACTCTACATCCACGGGCTCGGGTGTAACCGATTTAACCGATTCTGTCACTTCGGGCGATATCGCCCTCGGTCGGACAGGTGGAGGTAATTTCGCCATAAATGCAGTCAATGGATATATTCCGTACCTGGCAATGTAAAAGCATTCTGGTTATTACAATTTATCCGATATAAGACACAAAATGCAAATCCAATGTATCTCACGACTAAGATACTCACTTTACATCTTCAACAAATTTTTCTAATTTCTCCGTAACAGGAATATCACTTAAACGAATTTGTTGCGGAGGTATTCCTTGATACTTTATTTCGGCGACTACAGTATCTGGTCCATATAGCCTTTGCAACACTTCGTCAGTGATTGTTTCCGAAATGTTAGCTATAAAAAAATTTCAATGTTATGTGTGATTTATAATCGTAATCATTATAAGTATCTTTGAGTAATTATCTAAAAAATAAAAATTAAATAATAAAAATTAAAGAACATATAAATTATACATTTGCTTCAACTTACTAGCTGAGTTAACCAAGGCATGTGCTGCAAGCAGCTTGAGAGAATGTACTTCAAACAGAACGGGATGAAATAGCAATTCTCTCGCACTCGGTCTACTAAGCGGATCCACCTGAAGACATTTACGAATAAAATCTTTTTGTTGAACATCATCTAAAGATTCTATTGTCTTCCGGATGTTTTCTTCGGTAACAACTGTACCCGTATCACCATTTCCCTGAATTTCCAATGCAACCATCTCCAAAGCACACATCCCGAACGAATAAATATCAATGGCAGGTGTGACGGAATCTTAAAAAGAAATAACAAATAGTTTAAAAATGTTTTAAATGTGATCTATGTATGTATAAACAATGTACTTACTTCCATATTCTGGGGCAACAAAATGCATATTCTTCATGTTTGTTCTACAAGTCTTGATGTGATGATGAATTGCGTCTGGGGCTACTGTAATAAAAAAGAGATCATTGCTACTTTCACAAACTGTTCCAAGAAAAACGTCAACATAAAAATGATATTAATGTGAACGTATTCGACAATGTGTTAGAGTTGGTAGGGCAGCCACCAGACAGAATTATGTAGATGTTACATATGTAAACAAAACATATCTTCCTGTAGACATTATAAACAATAGACAATGAACATCAATAATTTTAAATATATAATATTTACTACGCATTCCGTATGTTTGCTGCCAAGATGAATGACTAAACCTCTCTAGAAAAATTGTGTTTCAGCTGAAAATTTATCCTAAAAGTAACTTGAGCCCTCGTACAATTAATAGTTTTTACATGTATAAATGTAAAAGTGTCTCTGAAAAGAGAAGCATGTCCCTTGGATGATCAGATGTACAAATAAAACATAAACTATTTCGTAAAAAAAAAAAATAATTTTTCTGTTGATTGCACAGTTCTGCTAGAACAGTTCTCTCTAGAAAAAACCTACTTTTGTTGAGTTAGAAGTATAAATTTGGAAAATAAAATCCTTTAATTAAGAATTATAGAGCATATGAACAAAAACTATGTATATATTAAAATTTAATGAAAATGCGTGCGCTAGGTGATTGTGAGAAGGACAAAGAGGCACGGAAGACACTTTGCCCTTCTTAGTTAAATACAATTAATAACCAGAACAAGATAAATAGTGCAACATAGTGGCACTAACATAATATAAATAAATTTTAATTATTTGTACATTTAATAGAGCTACTTAATAATTAGTATAGGAGTTGTTTACCTCTCTATGCCTAATTTACTTAGCTGGCAATAGTTGATGACAATCTGCCAAATGACTTTTTTCTTGAAATTCATCACCTTTGACAATAACACCAATTGACCAATAACGCCAGACACCGACGTTGGTGGATTTATCCTCTGGATGGGTGAAAGTACGATTTGTACTTCCTCTCTCTTCAAAGGCTTTGCTGTGTTTTTTTTCATTATCTAGATTAGCCTATTTGCTACAATTAAAAATGAGGACTCAAGTTACTCCTAATATGAAAAGGCAATTTAACACAATTTTTCTAATGGACTCAAGTTACTAACATCATATAAAATTATAGGGAAACGCGTGTTATAATAGATATTAATATCTATAAATAATTCTTCAAACACCATTTAAATTAAACTCGGTATATATAATTCGGTATAACTGCATTCATTCCTATATAATCAATTCAATTTTTAACATACATGTATTCATACATTCACATAAATACATACACACACACACACACACACACACACACACACACACACACACACACACACACACACACACACACACACACACATATATATATAAAGGACGTTATTTACGCTAAAAAAATTAACTATTTACAAATGATTAATAAATATCATGTTTGATATATGTATCCCTGTTAAATACACCATAATAATATTGTTTTAAAAATATTCAATTTGATGATAATGTCTTACAATTATAATTATTTAAAATAAATAATTGTTTTGTAAGACATAACTGAGTTTCTTCATACGTATGTATATTTATGTAAATAAAATTTTCCGTGATGTTTGTGTGCAAAATCACTAGAGAAGCACCTATATGACACATAATGATGAATCATATTATTTGTCATGTTTTCGTTCAGGAACTGAGTTATATAATTATTATTTATTTCAGCTGAGTAATGAGTAAATAAAAAGTACATAT